CGGTGGGTGGTGATGACTAGCTGTCTTCCCTTTAGTCTTACACTGCTAAATTAGGGATGGCTAGCGCAGATAGCCTTCGTGTAGCTTTGCGCGAAATTCAAAAACAAACAAACAAAAGGAAAGGCCGTAAACCAAACAAGTCAGTTCAGCTAACTATTTGCTGCTCAAGTTACAAGATAAAAAAAGTACATCATTATTATAATTTCTAATAGTTTTAACAAAAAATGACTCGAAATCAAACATTTCATTCTTCGAACAATATATGTTCAGGAAAAGCGTATAAACAAGGATGATTAACTTAAGGGAAAACTAATTCACATTAAAGAAGCAAATAACATTTCTAGCCTCTCCTCTTAATTTTGTCCTTAATAAAAACGTGTTACTTTACTTTTCAAATTTGGTTTTATTTTAGTCCGACATATATATAAAATATCCTAGTTGTACGTGAAACATCCCATTCCTCAAACGTTTTCACATGTTCCTGAATATCAGTAGATGATGTAATAATTTAACTGCTCATGGCTGTGAAAATGTTTTTCATTTTTAATCGTCTGTATTTATGCAAAAATATGCTGTTTTCCTTTTATCCTCTCATTTGATATTGATATATTTACAGCGTACATATTATGACACAGTGTTGCTCAGCCATTTCTGGATGTTTATCTGACGTTAAGGCTTTTATGTTCAGTAGACCACACGGAGAGCAAAATGAATGAATATATATATATAACATTATTGTTCGAAGACAATCGAAATTATTATAAACAAGAAAATTTAAAATGTTAACTATAATAATAAATATATATATATGTTTGATTGCTTGTTGAATTCCGTACTCGAGGGCTATCTGCGCTAACCGTTCCTGATTTTAAAGTTATAGACTAGAGGGAAGGCAGTTAGTTAACACCATCCATGGTCAAACCTTGGACTAATCTAATCGAATAGTGGAATTTGACCGTCGCTCTTACAACGCCCCAACGGCCTGTAAGTGTGAAGCGCGATTTTAATTTTTTTTAGCGGTAATTGGGTGCGAACAACAGAACCTCAGATCCACTAGGCTGCGCTCTTTCGAAAATATATGTACACTGATATATTTGTTAAGCTTTTATAATGTGCTAACTTTTGCACGCAGCCATAATCTAGCTATAAAGGTCGGAAGCAACTGTCAGAAATAATACAAATAGGAACTGGTAGTTTAAAATCGAGATGAAATAGTGAAGCTTCCGATGCATAGATTATCTTTGTAAATCGAATTATGCGTTTGTAATAAATGTTTAATTTATTTGTTTTTTTTTAAATTAAAAACAATGCTACACAATGGGTTATTTGTATTGTGGGTACCATGAGTATCGAAACCTGATTTTTAGCGATATAAGCTCTCAGACTTATGGCTGAGCCACAAGGGAACAAATAAATATATGTGATATCAAGATATAAAAACCCCTTAAATATCACAGTTTAATCTTTATTATTACTTTCAATAAAATTTTTACAGCAAATGTAAATATATTAATAAAACTACAGTGGTATAATTGACACGAGGAGAGTGTCACACAACACATGCACGTAACACTCAGTTTTTAAACGTCATATATATCACAATGGCTAATTTATGGTAATTTTGTATTTCAGTTTTAATTTCCGTTCGGTCAGCGGTAAGATTACGTATATGTAACACTAAAATTCAGTGTTTGATTCCCAATGGTAGACAGGGTGAAAATAGCCAATTATGTAGATTTGTACCAAGAAAACAACAACAAAAACCGATCCACACACACACTAGAATAATTTTATTTTTAGTTATTTCACTTTAGCAAATAAAGAAAACACAAAACTATCATTTTAAATCTCTCAACTTTGTCCATAACAAAATTGGGTGTGTTTTACGTAATTAGCAGCTTTACATATATAGAATTTCTTGCATTTCACATTTTAATTTCTGAAGGTTTTCTATCTCTTCTGTTTTTCATTTCATTTAGAACTGTTAAAGAGAAAACAGTGTTTTTCTCCCATGTGGGTGGTATAGCTTATACAAAGTTCACTTTGATTATAAAGCCGACAGTAAATGAATGAAAGGCTTACCATCAACAGACATACTATTACCCTTGACTGGAGAATTTCTTTCAGCCTTTCACAATTACACTGTCTCCAAAGTTCCAATTCAAGCAAAGACTAATCGCTAGCATTCACAGATGACACACTCCAGTGGTTCCTGATGAATGATAAAGGAACAGAAGGCTTTGTTGCCAGCAAGCGGCACTTCTAACTTTGTACCCTTGTTCCCCCACCCAGTTCTCTCGCTGGATCATTAAGCCTAACATTAATTACAGCAAATTATATTAGTTCAAAATTACCACACAGGCCTCTCTACCAGGAATATTTTCATGTTCAGCAAAAAATGAGATATACAATCATTAAATGTTTTCAACTAAAACACTTTTATTGGTTTTTACTTTATTTATCCTTAAAAACAACAACAAGAAAAACCAGCAAGGTTAAAATCTGGGTTTGACAATTATGCGAAGCTCATTTATTCAGATCATCCTTAACTATGCTATACATATTAATTAATGGTAATGTATTATATCCTTTACAACCAAAATGGTAAAGCCATTACATTAATATTCTATGAATTTGGCCAAGGAAATTATGTCTTTCATCTCGAACTCAGGGCTAGGTGGTTAGAGCGCTCGACTCGCAATTTATGGGTTCGAATCCCTGTCACACCAAACATGCTCGCCCTTTCAGCCGTAGGGGTGTTATAATGTGACAGTCAATCGCGCTATTTGTAGGTAAAAAGGGTAGCCCAAGAGTTGGTGGTGGGTGGTGTTGATTAACTGCATTCCCTCTAGTCTTACACTGCTAAATTAGGGACGGCTAGCGCAGATAGCCCTCGTGTAGCTTTGCGCGAAATTCATAACAAACAAACATTTTCGTAACATTTTGATATTAATAAAGTGAAATATTTTGCTAAGCGCTGAAGTGGGATGCGACTCTGGAATAAAAGGTAATTTTTAAACGAGCGCTCTGGTTATCGGATTTCTTGTAATGAAACAGCATGCAAAAGGCTGAAGTGGGATGCGACTCTGGATCAGGAAATAATTTCAAAACGAGTGCTGTGCTCTAGTTATCGGGTTTATTGCAGTGAAACAGCTTGAAAAACGTTGAAAAAGAATGTGACTCTGCATTATAAAATAATTTCAAAACGAGCGCCCTGGTTATCGGGTTTCTTGCTTTGTGGTAATATTCACCAGTGAGTAAAATATCTGTCTCTAAACATATTACTTTTAAGAGTGAAATTTGACACACAATTAACCTTGTTCTGCAAATTTTTCTCAAGTTCACACAGATATGTCACAGAATTTCTACCTTTCGAAAATTCTTTCTGAAACACTTTTAACTTAAAACTGTCTATGTAATAAATTCTCACTATTTTCTTATTTTATATGATATGTTAATGAACAATCGATATTGCTGGGACTGACTTCACAATCAACAGCAACTAGTCGAATGTGTGTGTGTGTCGAGGCGTTTCCGGCTGGGGCTCGACTAATCGAATAGAGTATATTGTGATCCAAGTACAGAACAGTAGTTAAAGCTAGTACTAGGACAAGCTCTAACACGAGTATAAGGAAAACTAATCCGATGTATAAGATCAGATAGAAAGTATGTATCACTTAGAGTTCTATGTGTTTTGCAATATCTTGTGTTCGGCCATGTATGGGTTGTAGTGCAGATCGCGGATTGATCGCGTCTTCAAACTAGAAATCCAGGGGCCTTTGAAGAGGGGAGGATACAAGCACGCTAGCTTGCTTGGGCTGAATGTACTCGCCGCTCAGCTTTATCCCTTCCTTCCGGACCAAGAGATAGCAATAAGGAGAAAATGCCTTTTCCCGAACCTCCTTGACAATACCTATAACTGCTGTATAATCCTGCTGTAGAAAACAGCTAAACCTAGTCTGCTCCTCAATAGTCTTACGAACTTTGTTGAAGGACGTAATACGAATGAACATTTGGTAACGATAAGAAAACCAAAATTTAAATGACGTATGCATTTTATGTTC